TTCCTAAAATACCATCATTCATTTTAAAAAATGACACCACCTCCACTTCCACATCCAATTCCACCACCTCCACCACCACATTCACCACCTCTACAACCACCACCACCGCCACTGCCACCACCACATCCTTCTCCTCCTCCTCCTCATCCTCTGCCACCACCACCTCCTCCACCTCCTCTACCACGCTGCCTTCACCCCCACCCCCACCCCCATAACCACCACTACCATCACATGATTAGCACATAACACTTTCAACATCATGTCTATTTTAGTCATTATTCACAATTACAACAGTTTTATATTAAAATTTACCAAACGGTTTTGACATTGTTTTTTGTACTAATAGCACTTTAAAAATATTATTTACCAAACATGGAGCTACTTTACTTTACAGCTAATTATTTTTAAAGCACAGCAGAAGCAACTTTTTAAAAAAGTGACAGTAATCCGAAACTAGGCCTAAAAAGCTCACAAATTGTCTTTGAGATTGATGGTGACCAAGAGGGGAGGAGCATGAGAAATTGAAAAGGTAATCAGATTTATAATTTTTTTATTTATATTTATTCCAACCCAGCAAACTATTGTTTCAATTTCCAATAGGAACAAAACACATAGAGACACGAAGTGGTAATCAAATTTATGAATACTTGATTGAATTGCATGTATCTTATCATTTCATATGTACATGAATCAGGTGGAGGTACGGAGTGAAGTTTCTCTAATTTTAGTTTCAACACAGCTAGCCTGAATAAAGCTTTGCAAGATTGAGGCCTTTTTATATAAGCTTTAACTAGGTTTTATCGCTCTTTATTTGCTGCTTAATTTTTTTTTTTTTTTTTGTACACTTTAGTTCATTGGTTGTGTTTGCTGTGTTTGTTTTGTTCATTGGTTGTCTATTTTCTACTTTTTAGACTTGAGAGTTTCACTAGAAAAATGGTTAGGAAACATGAATCTGGAAGTGCAAAAAGAAATAAAAGGAGAAAAATAGAAAAAAATTATTCAAACTCAAAAAGGAGCTCTTGATAAGTTTTTTAAAACTAGTTCTTCAATTGAAGATTCAGCTGATGATTTACTTAATGAAGGGGTTGGTGATCTCAGTGAGAATGAAAATAATCTTGGAAGAAATTATAGAAATTGATACAAATGAACTGAATGAGGTTGGTGATCTCATTAAGAATGAAAATAATGAGGAAGAAATGAGAGAAAATGATACAAATGAATTGAATGGGGTTGGTGATCAATTTGAGAATGAAAATGAAACATAACAAATAAGTCATGCTTTGAATATCTATGATCCAAGAAATTGGGATAACATTGATAACAAAACAAAGGATCTTTAGTAGAAAATGGTCCTATATGAGAAAGTAATCTCAAGTTTCCCGTGGATGGGCTTTCTAGGCATTTTTCATATTCATTTTATACAAGAAAGTTACCAAATGGAGAGAAACAAGATAGAAAATGGCTAGTGTACTCAAAAAATGTGGACAAAGTATATTGTTTCTGCTGTAAGTTGTTTAAATCAGTGTAGAATAAAAGTTTGTTAGCAAATGAAGGGCTTAATGATTGGAAACATTTAAGTGAGAGGCTTAAAAAACATGAAAATAGTATTGAGCATATCACTAACATGAGAACTTGGATTAATTTGCATATTAGATTGAAAATGAATGAAACAATTGATAAAGACATACAAATGCAAATTAAAAAAGAAAAAGAATATTGGAAACTAGTTTTAGTAAGAATAATTTATGTTGTGAGATGTCTTACTAAAAGAAGTTTAGCTTTTCGTGGAGAGAATGAGAAAATTTACCAAGATAATAATGGTAACTTTTTGGGGCTGCTTGAATTGATTGCAGAATTTGATTTGGTAATGAAAGAGCATTTTAGACGTATTCAAAATAATGAGATTCATTATCACTATCTTAGCCATAAAATTCAAAATGAGTTTATTGGTATGCTAGGCTCTAAAGTTAGAAGTGCTATAACTGAAAAAATCAAAGAGGCAAAATATTTTTCCGTAATACTTGATTGTACTCCAGATGGGAGTCACCATGAGCAAATGACTTTAATAATTCGATGTGTAGATGTGTCAAATGTTCCAATAAAGGTAGAAGAGTATGTTTTAGAGTTCTTGATAGTGAATGATACATTTGGATTTGGAATTTTTAATGACTTACAAGCTATATTACAGTCTCTTAAACTTGATATTAATAATGTAAGGGGCCAAGGTTATGATAATGGATCTAATATGAAGGGGAAAAATAGTGGTGTGCAAAATAGGCTTCTTGAAATAAATCCTAGGGCATTTTATATGGCAAGGGGCCATGTGCTTGTCATTCTCTTAATTTAACATTTGTGATATGGCAAACTCAAGTGTTAAAGATGTGTCATTTTTTGGAGTTGTGCAACGCATGTATACTCTATTTGCTAGTTCTACAAAGAGATGGAAATTTTTTCAAGATAATCTCCATGGATTAACTCTTAAACCATTGTCAACAACAAGATGGGAAAGTCATATTAATAGTGTTAGAGCCATAATAACCCAAACCGATGATATAAGAGAAGCTTTGTTTGAATTGTCTAGAGTTAGTGAAGTTGCCAAAACAAAGAGTGAAGCTGAATCTTTAGCAACACATGAACTTGAAAGTTTTGAATTTTTGTTGAGCATGACTATATGACATAACATTTTGAAAAAAATTGACTTAGTTAGCCAAAAATTGCAATATGGAGATATGTAAATTGATGCTGCAATAAAAAATTTGAAGGGCCTTGTTTCTTATTTTGAAGACTATAGACAAAATGGGTTCACATTTGCCTTACTTTCTGCCAAAGATATTGCATCTAAGATGGAAATTAACCCAGTATTTCATGAAAAACGTCAAAGTCGTAGGAGAAAACAATTTGATGAAAATGATCATGAAGAGACTTTTCAATCTGCTGAAGAATCTTTTAGGGTTAATTATTTTCTTGTTGTGGTCGATGTTGCTATTTCTTCTTTGAGGAGTAGATTTGAACAATTAGAAATATTTGAAGGTATTTTTGGTTTTTTGTTGAATCCTAAAAAGTTATTTGTAATGAATTATCAAATGTTGTGTTAATCTTGAAGATACTTTGACACATGGCAATGAATCTGATATTAATGTTGATGATTTGTGTTCTGAATTGGAAGTTTTACGATTGTATTTACCACAAGAGGCAAAGATTGCCATTCAAGTTCTTAATTATGTAAAATCTGTAGATCTCGGTTGCTTATAGAATTATATTGACTATGCCAGTGATTGTGGCATCTGCAAAAAGAAGTTTTTCAAAATTAAAATTAATAAAATCTTACTTGCGTTCAACTATGTCTCAAGAAATGTTGAATGGATTGGCAATCTTATGCATTGAAAAGAATATGTTGGAAAAGCTTGATTTTGAAGATGTTTTTGAAGATTTTGCATCTCAAAATGCTAGAAGACCAAGGATTTTTCAGTGATTGATTGTACTTTTAATGTTATTGTTTATATTTTTTGGATTGTAGATGGTGCAGAGGAAACCAAGCAGATATTTGTGTATTTTGATAAAGGGAAAGCATCGGATATTTGCACATTGTAATGGGGTGGATCTCTTATTGGCTACCTATTTGGGAGGAAGTAGGCTCCAGGCAGATTTTGGACCTTCCAAATTCCCTGTAACCATTTCATATATTGTTTTCAAAGCTGTTTTTGTGATCCAAATTATACACAGACAATGACTTTGTTGTTAAGAGACTTAGACTCTGCTTTATAATTAACCAGGTAGGATTATGCTCTATAATTTTTTATCGTAATGTATGCTAAGTTACTTATTGTAGTTTCTTTTAGTTGAAGACATTTGTGAGTTACTTTTAGTGGACGTTTTGTGTCCTACTTTCTTTGTTTTCAGTTTTATGTCTTCAAAAATATGTATGTTGTTACTTATTGTAGTTTCTTTGTCCCTTTGTGCTACCATTTGTTACTTCTCTTATGTTGTATGATTCTTTTTGCAGACCACAAAGAGGATTTTGCACTTAAACTCATGTGATGAAGCCTGAAGCCAAAAGCCAATCTTAAGGGAAAGGGTTTAGTATTTTGAACAAATGCTTAGTTTTAATGTATGTTTTGAGAATACAAATGACCAATTTTAGGGACATGTTCCCATTATTGGTTGCTGGAATGTTGGTTTGTAAATTTGTAATTTCCTACATGATATTAAATATCTAATCTGAATTTTTTTACGGATATATGTGTCCTATTATAATGCATACGACCTTTTTTATTCAGGCGCTCTACGCGCTATGTAAAATCATTTTATTTGTTGTTTTTTCGCAATTGTATACTAAGGGAAGGGGCCTCATTTAGTTTATCGCCTAGGGCCACCCAAAAGTCAGGGCCGGCCCTGATCCTAATATATTATATATTAGCTTGGGTAACTGTGATATGTTGCTAAACGTCACTTACAATTTATGGAAGCCTTGAGGATATTCTGTAAATGGGTCATCATAAAGGGGGAATTAAAAAAGGAGTTATAATTCACAATCGATAAAATAAAGAGTTCATAATCACCCACAACCTCACTAATTAGAACTCAATGGATCTCACACCATAAGCTTAAAATTTGGATAAATAATGAAAGATGACAAGATCAACGGTTAAGTCAATTAATTAGATTAATTGATTAGAGAGAGAATTAATTAAAGAGTTAATTAATTACGTTGAAATAGAATGGGTCTTAAAATGGTTTGAGAAACTAAAGGCCCATGGAGTTTTAGCAAAAAGGGTCTTAAAAAGAGATAAGAGGGATAAGTGGGATAAGTTAGACCAAGAGTCCCAAGAGAAGGCCCACCTAGCCTTGTGCCGAAATTTTGGAGAGAGAAGGAGAACCCTAGGGTTCTCCCATATGTTCTATATATTCACCATTTAGCTTATCTTTCTCCTCAAGGTTTTAAGTCTTGCAAAGGTTGTTAGTAGTATGCCCTTAAAACCAACTAATTATGTGATAATTAATAGTAATGACATCTTTTATAATAACTTATTAAGTTATTCATGGGCAAGACTAGTTGTTTTCAACCATGACAATAGGTCTATTGTCATAACTGTTGGTTTTAAAACATTTTTAAGAAGTTCAATTGAATATTAAACATACAATTAATCAAATTAATCACATCGGAAGAATATGTTGGTTGTTTAAATTCAAAATAAAACTTCTTCCAAGTATCTTAAGCCATGAACATTGATATGATTTCATAAAGTGAAAGTACAAGAGAAAGGGATAAGTTCTCATTACCCTTGAAGCTATAATATGAACCAAGTTGTGTTTTGGTCTTCTCTTGATGATTTCCCTTTGTTGATCTCCTCTTTGATCTTTCTCCTCCTTGTGAGCCACAAAAGGATATGGCCTCTAAGTTTCCACACCAATGGAACCTTGAGATAAGAAGAAGTACTTGAGAATACAGGATGCTAGTGCAAGATTCTCAAGATTGGTTTAAATCTAAACCCCTTTTAAAGAAGAAAGTGTTTCACTCTTGAAAACTATCATTTTTCTCTCTTTGATTTCCCAAACCTATTTGGTTGATGTTGGATTGCGTTTGTGTGTCAATGAGCTTATGGAAACAATTCCCATACACATTCACTTAAGCATTTTCGGCCAAACCCCATTGGGCTTCCAAAA